GGGCGGGGGGCACAGGGGACATGGGGCAGCCCCTCCTGTGCACCTCTAGAGACCGCAGACCCCGTCCCGCTGCCTCCCAGTGGCCCCCAGCCCCACTGCCCTTTTCTCTCTCGGTGCCTCCCTGTGCTCCCCACAACACCCCCTGGTGTCTCTCGCTGCTCCCCAGTAGCTCCCAGTGCCTCCCAGTATCCCACAGCCCCGAGCGCCCCGTGCAGCCCCCGGGCACCCCAACACCATCCACCCCTGTGCTCCTCATCCCCCACTGTGTCCCAGCACCCCGCAGTGACCCACAACCACCACCCCCACTCGCCCCCCCCGGTGCTGCCCCATGCTGCCCTACAGCTGCAGCCACCTCCGCTCTCCCAGTGCCCCCGCAACCCCTGGGTCCCCCCCCATTCAATGCATTTCATCCTCTGTGCTCCCCAGTTCTTTCCAGAACATCCCAATATCCCACAACAACCACATCCCGCTCCCCCAGAGCCTCCCAGTACCGCACACCGGGTGCTCCCCAGTGCCTCCATTACCTCCCAACGCTCCCAGCTCCATACACTCCAAGTGCACCCCAATGCCCCACATTGCACGCACTCTGAGTGCTCCCCAGTGCCCCCAGTACCTCCCAGCGCTCCCAGCTCCACGCACCCCAAATACTCCCCAGTGCTCCCAGTGCCTCCCAGCACCACACACCCGCGGTCTCCTCCATTCCCCAACGCCTCCCAGTGCCACGCACCGTGGGTGCTCCCCAGTGCCTCCCAGCGCCACACACCTGCAGTCTCTCCCGCTCCCCCAGCGCTCCCCCAAACACCTCCAGACTCCTCCATTTCCCAACGCCCCCCAAAGCCTCCCAGCGCCCCTCACCCCGCTCCTACCTGCAGGACACCGTCAGCTCCACCTTGGTGGCCGGAACGCAGCCGGTGCCGCCCGCCCGCAGCCCCCCCAGCCCCGCCATGCCCCGCTCCGCCCTCCCGGGGCCGCCGCCGCCGCCGTTCCCGGGGCCGTCCCGGCGCTTTCGGGGCTCCCGGTGCTCCCGTTACAGCGATGCCGCAGCGCCGCCGCCCCGGGGCTGCCCCCGGAGCCTCCCGCGAGCCCGCCTCTGTCCGGCCCCCGCGCCGCCCCCAGTAGCGCCCAGTGCTCCCGGTGCCGCTCCCACCACCGCCCGGTGCCCGCGGTGCCGTTTTGCAGCAAGCCCAGCGCCGCCCGGTTGATCCCAGTGCCGCCCCACTCCGTCCCCAGTACCGCCCACCGTTCCCAGAGCCATCCCCTGTATCGCCCAGCGCTCCCAGTGCCACCCTGGCGCACCTCCAGCCTCGCCCGGAGCTCTTCGTGCCGACCCAGCGTTGCCCAGCGCTCCCAGCGCCACCCCCACCGTCGCCCAGCGCTCTCAGTACCGCCCTGCCGCATCCCGCTACCTCTCAATGCTGTGCCACCCCCAGTTCCACCTCATTCTACCTCCAGCACTGCCCGGTGCTCCCAGTGCCACCCCACCACATCCCCAGGATCGCCCCCTGCCCCCCCCCCCCCCCCCCCCCCCCCGCGCTGCTGCCCCTCAGTGCCTCCCAGCGTCCCCAGTTCCCCTCCCACCCCCCTCAGTGCTCAAGGTTCTCCCCGGTGCCCGCAGTGGGGTTGCACTGAGCCCACGGGTGACAAACCTGTGGCCCACAGGTGACACGTTCCTCCAGGGGTGGCGCTTCATCTCCA